TCGCCATCTCGTTGCCTGGTGCTATATCGCCATCTCGTTGCCAGTGGTGCTATATCGCCATCTCGTTGCCAGTGGTGCTATATCGCCATCTCGTTGCCAGTGGTGCTATATCGCCATCTCGTTGCCAGTGGTGCTATATCGCCATCTCGTTGCCAGTGGTGCTATATCGCCATCTCGTTGCAGTGGTGCTATATCGCCATCTCGTTGCAGTGGTGCTATATCGCCATCTCGTTGCAGTGGTGCTATATCGCCATCTTCGTTGCCAGTGGTGCTATATCGCCATCTCGTTGCCAGTGGTGCTATATCGCCATCTCGTTGCCAGTGGTGCTATATCGCCATCTCGTTGCCAGTGGTGCTATATCGCCATCTCGTTGCCAGTGGTGCTATATCGCCATCTCGTTGCCAGTGGTGCTATATCGCCATCTCGTTGCCAGTGGTGCTATATCGCCATTTCGTTGCCAGTGGTGCTATATCGCCATCTCGTTGCCAGTGGTGCTATATCGCCATCTCGTTGCCAGTGGTGCTATATCGCCATCTCGTTGCCAGTGGTGCTATATCGCCATCTCGTTGCCAGTGGTGCTATATCGCCATCTCGTTGCCAGTGGTGCTATATCGCCATCTCGTTGCCAGTGGTGCTATATCGCCATCTCGTTGCCAGTGGTGCTATAAGCCATCTCGTTGCCAGTGGTGCTATATCGCCATCTCGTTGCCAGTGGTGCTATATCGCCATCTCGTTGCCAGTGATGCTATATCGCCATCTCATTGCCAGTGGTGCTATATTCGCCATCTCGTTGCCAGTGGTGCTATATCGCCATCTCGTTGCCAGTGGTGCTATAACGCCATCTCGTTGCCAGTGATGCTATATCGCCATCTCATTGCCAGTGGTGCTATATCGCCATTTCCGTTGCCAGTGGTGCTATATACGCCATCTCGTTGCCAGTGGTGCTATAATGCCATCTGTTGCCAGTGGTGCTATATCGCCATCTCGTTGCCAGTGGTGCTATATCGCCATTTCGTTGCCAGTGGTGCTATATCGTCATTCGTTGCCAGTGGTGCTATATCGCCATCTCGTTGCCAGTGGTGCTATATCGCCATCTCGTTGCCAGTGGTGCTATATCGCCATCTCGTTGCCAGTGGTGCTATATCGCCATCTCGTTGCCAGTGGTGCTATATCGCATTTCGTTGCCAGTGGTGCTATATCGCCATCTCGTTGCCAGTGGTGCTATATCGCCATTTCGTTGCCAGTGGTGCTATATCGCCATCTCGTTGCCAGTGTGCTATATCGCCATTTCGTTGCCAGTGGTGCTATATCGCCATCTCGTTGCCAGTGGTGCTATATCGCCATCTCGTTGCCAGTGGTGCTATATCGCCATCTCGTTGCCAGTGGTGCTATATCGCCATTTCGTTGCTAGTGGTGCTATATCGCCATTCGTTGCCAGTGGTGCTATATCGCCATCTCGTTGCCAGTGGTGCTATATCGCCATTCGTTGCCAGTGGTGCTATATCGCCATCTCGTTGCCAGTGGTGCTATATCGCCATTTCGTTGCCAGTGGTGCTATATCGCCATCTCGTTGCCAGTGGTGCTATATCGCCATCTTCTGTTGCCAGTGGTGCTATATCGCCATCTCGTTGCCAGTGGTGCTATATCGCCATCTCGTTGCCAGTGGTGCTATATCGCCATTCGTTGCCAGTGGTGCTATATCGCCATCTCGTTGCCAGTGGTGCTATATCGCCATCTCGTTGCCAGTGGTGCTATATCGCCATTTCGTTGCCAGTGGTGCTATATCGCCATCTCGTTGCCAGTGGTGCTATATCGCCATCTCGTTGCCAGTGGTGCTATATCGCCATCTCGTTGCCAGTGGTGCTATATCGCCATTTCGTTGCCAGTGGTGCTATATCGCCATCTCGTTGCCAGTGGTGCTATATCGCCATCTCGTTGCCAGTGGTGCTATATCGCCATCTCGTTGCCAGTGGTGCTATATCGCCATCTCGTTGCCAGTGGTGCTATATCGCCATCTCGTTGCCAGTGGTGCTATATCGCCATCTCGTTGCCAGTGGTTCTATATCGCCATCTCGTTGCCAGTGGTTCTATATCGCCATCTCGTTGCCAGTGGTGCTATATCGCCATCTCGTTGCCAGTGGTGCTATATCGCCATCTCGTTGCCAGTGGTGCTATATCGCCATCTCGTTGCCAGTGGTGCTATATCGCCATTTCGTTGCTAGTGGTGCTATATCGCCATCTCGTTGCCAGTGGGGCTATATCGCCATTTCGTTGCCAGTGGTGCTCTATCGCCATTTCGTTGCCAGTGGTGCTATATCGCCATCTCGTTGCCAGTGGTGCTATATCGCCATTTCGTTGCCAGTGGTGCTATATCGCCATTTCGTTGCTGCTCCTTCAGCCTTTCCAGTAGCACTATATCTTTCTCCTTCAGATATATTGAATAAGCGTGATTTTTTGTCTCAAAAGAGGCTTCATATCGATACATCACCAGTACTCCTGGGGCCCTTGCAATGGTACTGCTCTACCTTTCCATGGGTGGCTCTCGACCTTTCAGAGATCGTATCGGGCCTTCATTGGTAATTGCCGGTGCCAGGAATTGCGGGGCCCAATTAGAAAACTGATGGTGGGGCCCCTATTCTACATGGTAAAATTTATGGGTTTACATTTCATATAAAAGACATACAAACCAACAAAAAAACGAATAAACATTGAATGTTTTGTATGATAATTTTTTGAAAGGCAATATGGAAAACTTTATTTTTACTTTTAATATAAAAGCAATTACAGACATACTCTTAGATTTTTTTTTTTTTTTATGGCTCTAGCAATCTCGTTTTCTATAGAGAGCATTGCCAAATTATCGTCTCTCTCTTGTGAGACCGTAGACTTCAAGTATGTTTTGATTAGTTTAAGCTTTGAAAGCCTTCTTTCCCCTGATGCGACTGTTATTGGCATTGTTATATAAATCCTCAAAGCAATGAAAACTAAGAAATGCTGTGAATCTATTGTTTTCAATCAGATATTCAAACAGAGCATAAGGCATAATTCTGGAGGAAAGGAAAGTTTTCAGAGCTTCAAGTTCTTCAGCCAACAGATACCCATCGTCTTTATTTTTTCAGTATTTTTTTCAGCGCCCAATTTTATCAAATCGGTCAAATCGGCTTGAAACCGGTCCTGCAGTGGTACACACTTAGGCCATTCTATTGGTGCCCTATCGACTCTTCCAAAGGTACCACCATATTAGCCCTTCTAGTGGTGCCATATCGACCATTTTAATGGTTCCCCTTCGACCTTTCCGATGGTGTCATTTATCGACTTCGGTGTCACTTCTGCTCTTCCAATATTACCTCATCGGCTCTTCCAATGAGCCGATGAGGCGGTGTCACATCGGACCCTCTAGTGTCAGCACTTCCACATATGCCCTCCCGGCTTTTCTAAAGGTGGCCCTGCAGCCTTTCCAATAGTATCCCCTGACAATGTTGCTACATCGTCTACTTTCAATGGTCCCCCCTTAGCACTGCCTTATCAGCTCCTCCAAAGGTGGGGCACATCAATCTCTCTCTCTCTCTCTCTCTCTCTCTCTCTCTCTCTCTCTCTCTCTCTCTCTCTCTCTCTCTCTCTCTCTCTCTCTCTCTCTCTCTCTCTCTCTCTCTCTCTCTCTCTCTCAAAGAAGACTATTGTGGAAATCAGAACACCTAGGTGGAATGAAAGGCAAACTTCTCGAATGGACGTGACTTCCTTCATGAAAGACAGATGAGTACCGTGATGAAAGAGAAGCACTCTACATGGCGACGAGTAAACAACGGAATACCTCTAGGATCGGTTTACTATATTTACCAATGATTTAGTGTCAAACATAAGAACAGGTAGTTATCAGAATATGTTTGAAGACGACGCGATAATACAAAAAAGGATAGTAGACGACGTTTCATGCAAATGTTTCCAAAGTGACATCGAAAAAAAACATTCATGTGGAGTTGTACTTGGAAATGGAATTCAACATCAATAAATATCATATAGTCAGGTTTAGAAAAAGAAAAATGGTTCATTATACCAAAGCATATTAGGAGACAGATATGGAAAAAGTCGTTAAAATAGTCTTTGAAATAATCATAAACAAGAACCTAAGCCCAAATTATCAAAGGCAAAGATTTACAGCCACCATAAGAACTAGTCTAGAGCACGCTGCAGTGGTGTGGAGTCCACACTTAAAAAAAAATACAGATAAACTGGAAAAAGTTCAGAGATCAGCCACGAGATGGGCACCTATTCTAAGAGATATATGAGCTACGAAGATCGACTACAGAAAATAGGGGACACTTCTTTGGAAGAAAGAAGGAAAAGAGGTGACATGATTATGCTGTTCAACTATGTTACAGGAAGAGAAGTAAAACAAAGATTATTTTATGGACTTGAACACAAGAGGACGCAGTAAAAAGCTGAAAGTAAAAAGAGGCGAAAGAGATGATAAAAAGTTTAGTTTCCCAAACAGAACTATTGGTACATGGAATAATCTTCCAAATACCGTTCTGTGTACCAAAAATGTCGATATATTTAAGTTATATGATTAAATATAGCCGACGGGACCATCTGAGCTCAGCTCTTCTCCCACATTGAAACATTTAGGTAAGAACACATACACGCACGCACGCACGTGTGTGTGTGTGTGTGTGTGTGTGTGTGTGTGTGTGTGTGTGTGTGTGTGTGTGTGTGTGTGTGTGTGTGTGTGGTGTGTGTGTGTGTGTGTGTGTGTGGTGTGTGTGTGTGTGTGTGTGTGTGTGTGTGTGTGTGTGTGTGTGTGTGTGTGTGTGTGTGTGTGTGTGTGTGTGTGTGTGTGTGTGTGTGTGTGTGTTTGTGTGTATGTGTGTGTGTGTGTGTGTAAGTACTTATGTATCTGCGGGGATAACTACATAATGAAGAGTGTGCTTTTTCTTCCTTAACAAAGAGCTTTACACAAACATTTTATATATCATATTTACAAGAGACAGAAAAAGGTAAACATTTACATCAAGAATCCCTTTACCTACACCGCATGTTTGTTATTCCATTGTGAAAACCCTATGAAAGAAGAAAGGTTACATTGTGAAAAGTACTAATCGGAAAGCTTGATATTGAGGTTATCAAAAGAAATAAGATAACACAGCGTGCGTTAACTGTCACATATTCAAGATTACTAAGGTAAGTAGTAAAGAAATCTTAAGCGATAATGCTGAATCCTGACGTAAGCGATGTGTATCACGACTAACATCCGACTTTATTAATCATGCCGTAGGAAAAACGTGACAATTCTGTAAAAAGCTGCTCGTCGCCAATACTAACATATTTAGTATCCATAAACTGTGTATGGTTATAGTCCATATATAACATCTCTGACCGCAGGAAACCAACTGTAGCTGCGATATTAGCAGTATATAAATGGCCCGGCGTCAGCGATCGCCGCCGCCGCCGCCGCTGCGGTGAAAGGCCGGCGAAGTCCACCCTGTATACTTTGGCAAGATAGAGCTCGTAGATCTCCCTGCCTAATGCGGAAGAACTCCAAGCTTTGTCTTCCGATATTATGTATAGTTAAGGTTTGCTTGCAATTGTTAGCATACTGAAGACACAGAGGCCACAGTGACTGTTAGATTGTGTGCCAGTCTAAATTATTTGAGTCTATAATATTATAAGTACTTACTATGTATATCTTGCAATTTCTTTGGAATATTCCATGGTAAATTTGGAAAAAGTCGCCACCAACGCTTTTCGGGATGAAACTAGATTCGTTTGATTTCTATTGATTTCTAGTTAGGTTGATTCTGGTGTTCATTTTCATCGGAAATGGCTAGATTGTCTTTTCCACACCAGAGTTGCGCCACTCTTTATATCATGCATGTGCACTAAGGAATTCTCGTTCTCTGCTGTAATCACAGTAGCAATTTAGTCACAATATTGTTCAATGCAGGGGGCTGTGCCCCCTGCAACTCCCCCATGGGGGGCTACTGCCCCCCAACCCCCGCCCAGGAAAACAAAGAATCCACCTATTTACGGCAGGAAAGAGCGTTGGACAAAGTCGGCATCAGGCGGTCCCGCATGTCAGCAGTAGTTATGAAAAGTACTCAGGAAAACAGAATCCTCCAGGTATTTATGGCAGGAGAGAGTGTTGGACAAAGTCGGCATTAGGCGCTTCCACATGCCGTTCGTACACACGCGAAGCACTGTACATTTAGTCACTTCAGTGTAAATAACCTAAAACATACCTATGCAGAGGAGGGGCCGGGGTGAGGGTCGTCGATATCAGTGGAGTGGTTTGCGGGAACAGGAGCGCCGGAGAGGTCTGCGTGAGCACGAGGGCCGGAGAGGTCTGCGTGAGCACGAGCGCCAGAGAGGTCTGCGTGAGCACGAGCGATACGAGGGTAGAACTCCATGCTCATGTGATAGTTTCAAGCTAGCCTCATTGTCTTCAAATTTTTTTTTAGAAATTGGAATGGTTTTGATACGACATCCTACACACACGGAAATCTTGGCGAGACTAATTTGGAAATTGAATTTCATAGCTTCTATTTTACCTAATGTTCATTCATTGGCCGTTTCCCTTGTGAATTCTTCTTCTTCTTCTTTCTTCTTTTATAGGGTTTTAGACTTTTGAGTAGTCTATATCCCCTGGATCCTTTTTCTTTTCTATTCTTTCTTTTATATGATCTCCGTTAATCTGTTTTTTCTTAGGAAGATTTTGGTATGTCTGAGGGTGTAGTACTTTTCTGTTGGGGAGAGATCTGCACCTGTGAATAGTAAGTATTAGGGTTGTTTATTTTGATTTTTCTTAGTGCTTCTTTTAGTCTTGTTCTGTTGGAATGGAATTGTGGACATTGGAGTATTAAGTGTTCTATTGTTTCTTCTTCGATATGGCACCATCTGCAGAGTGGATCATTTGTAATTTTCATTCTTTGTAAATGCAGTTTTGATCTTGTGTGTTTAGTTTTTATTCTTGTTATGCATACATCAATTTTTCTGTTTTTAGATCTCGTCCATGGTTGAGGATCTGTGTTTTTCACTAGATATTTTTTGTGTTGAGGATTGTGTTTAATTGTCTTATCCAGTTGTTTTGTTTTTTTTATTTCAATTTGTTTTTTTGTGTCTTCATGTATGGTTATGGTATTTGTTAGATTGTGTGCTTTTTTTGCTGCCTGGTCTACTATTTCATTACCTTTTATGTTTTTGTGTGAAGGTATCCATTGTAAAATTATTGTATGTTTTTGTTTTACTAGTGTGTGTATGATTTCTTGTATTTCGAATATTATGTGTTTAAAATTTTGTTTTGAGTTTGATATTAGAAGTAGAGCAGATTTTGAGTCTGAAAATATTACTGATTTCAATAATTTATTATTCTGAATATATTATAACCCTTGTTTTATTGCAAAAAGTTCCGCTTCTATTATTTCAGTATTGCTCGGTAATTTCCATATTGTTGTTATTTTTTTTCTTGATTGTAAATTGCTGCTGAAGTAGATTTAATAGTTTATTTTTGAGCCATCTGTAAATAGTTTTTTATAATTTAGGCATTTTGTGTTTTCTAACATTGCATAATGTGATTTTATTATTTACTCTGGTAGATTTTTTTCTTGATAGTCCAAAAATTTTGTATTTATATTTTCAAAAATGTCGTACCATGGTGAAATGGGAGTTATGTTTGGGACTGCTTTTGTTTTTATATTTATTTGTAATTCCTTACAAGTTTCCAAGACTCTGTGTATTAAGCTTCTTTTGTCTTTTATGGGGTTGTATTCTTTTATATTTGGCAATTAGCTTCAAGTGTCGATCAGCCGGCATTTCCTATCACTTTTGGATCATCACAGTACTCGTGAATTCTTTCCTCATTGGCCATTAAATTAACTCCCAAACAATTGATCAATGAAATCGTGACACTGACATAGTGTCACAGGCGAGATAACAGGAACAGTACGGGTGCGAGAGAGAGAGACCCAGCGCATGCGCAGTGGAAAACTTGGTCAGTATTCCCACAGCTCCCGTGTGAATCTCACCTCGTTTTTTTATTATTTTTATTTATTTTGAAAATTAAATAACTTTGTTATTATTAATTTGCGAGACAAGTTTATTTAATGAATAGTGATTGATAATTAAATATCTTCAAGGCTATAAGGTTAGTTTTGGTCTTTTCAATGGTGACGCCTTTTTCCAATAATACCTATTCTATACCCTCCCTGGTTTCTAAGTCCAATATCATCCATGTAGTTGATTAGCATAGACCCAGTATCATCCATTCAGCTGTAATCCATGGAGTAATACTTTAGAATAGTTTCAATTTTCCACCACTATATGGTATAGGGTAAACAATGAATTTAATGAGCAGAGCAACAAAAGGGAAGACACTTTTCAAAACTTGCAATGGATATTGCAATTTATTAATGTAAAAATTGTTAGTATTGATGACTTTCAGCTTTACCACGGATTTAGTAAAGTTTTGGAAGAAACCAACAAACTACCATAGTCTCCTGCTAATTGGTGCAGCCTCTGCACTTATATGAGCATCTATAAAGGCCAATAAAGCTCCATCTCACATATTCTGACATTGCAGAGTTTGTAAGCCTCCATGTAAATTCACTGTTAGATATGCAGTCCAAGTCCAAGCTGATTTACTCTAGATTGTATTGTGAATCATACTACCTGGCCTCAGTTTACATTTCCATACATATATACACACTAATTTATGTACTACAGGTTCCTTAAAAAAAAATTATAATTCTACGAATGAAAGATTTTTGCATTAGGCATCTTATTTCAGAGAGTATTTTAAACTGAAGATCATGTTCTATGTATCATGAGTTTTTGCAGTCACATCTAGAGCACAGTCTAAATAATTTTTTTTCATATAGTTTACTAGAATGTTTCAAAGTTTTACCAGAAAATAGCCTTCAGGTGTCATTTAGAACATATGGATGAACCCTGAAGGCAAAAGATAGGTATAATGCAAGTTAATGAGTCTAAGATATGTTATATAGGTAAATGACTATGGGATGATAACTAGATATAGTACAAAAAATAATAAAAGAGACAGAGGGAGAGAAAGTAATACATTTGAAGAGAAGTAGTTTTTCCTCTCACAAGAATAAATACCCAATTTAGATTTATTTTTTATCATTTAATTTGACTGTAAGGTAAGTCCAAAAGCTGTTAAGATAAAATATTAGTGTATGTATGTTATGCAAGGCATAGTTGTAGTTGGATATACTGTACAAGTACAAGTTACTAGTAATGTATACACGTTTTATTAATTTATAGAGATGAGAATCTGGAACGCATGTCAGGAGTTAGAGGAATGATGATTTTTTTTTTCTTTCTTTTTTTTTTCTTTTTTTCAGATTTGTTTTCTCCAAAAATGAAGTTTGTGGTAGAGCAAGCTAGTAAAAGCAGTGGGCGCCTTGGAAGACTGACAGGTTTGAGGAGCCAGCCCACAACAGTTCATGATACTCCTCTTTCAATGATATCTACACTGGGTGGCAGTGCACCTCATCTCACACAGGTAAGGAAATGAAGAGAGATAATTTCTGTGGGTAGGTGAGATAGTTTTATTCAAAACGCTTGCAGATTATTGAAAATATCTCTACACTGTTGGTGCCAAATTTTTCTGTGTGGCACTCATTTCTGTGACCACTGATAACTGTCTAGCCCTATCACGAGGGCATTTGCTCACTAGCGTGAGTCATGAACACAGATACACATGCCTGTCATGAAGGATGTTATATGTTATGAATATTGTTTGATTATATTCCCAGTCCTCTATGATTACACTATTTTTCCTCTAAATAAAGATTAGTAAAATTTCCTATGTATATATGTAGTTTGGATGTATGTATATATCTCGAGTGGTTTGGATGCAAGTAGATTAAATAAGTGAAAAAAAAATTACTTTTATATTGTTTCGTTATATCTGCTGGAGATATTGGTGTTGTATGAGAATGCCTTCTGTTAAAAAGAAAAGAAACAAAATAATTAACCTAGTAATATAATGTAGACTCAGGATGATATATAATGATATAGCTAGGTTTCTGTGATAACAGTTTTTATTCAGGTTATGAGACTGCATTCTAACACATTTCTTCAACTTGCATGATTTTTTGTTCATAAACCTAAAATGTATTATTTTTGTAGCATTTATGCAGGATTGCTTGGATGTATAAGTGTTATTTTTTAAATTTACTTTTGTAGGATGTTCTACACCTTGTTGTAGATAAGGAAGTACCAGTGTGTTTTCCAGCGCAGCATTTTTGTGATCTTACAAAAACACTCCAGAAATTCAAAAAAGGTGTTACACACTTTTCAGCACTCAAGGTATGTAGTTTTTTCTTATTTTTATCTGTCTTTTAGAGACTGAAGCAATATTGTCTAACTTTTTGTAGGAGAATTATAATGTATTTTCATAAAAAGAGATTAGGATTACATAAGTGGACTCAAGTATTGTTTATTGTTGAAGTGAAAATATTGATATTATGTGTATGCAATTCCCTCTCAGAGTCATAGTGCATGTGTGACAGTCCAGGATGCTACAAAAATGACACCAAGTGGTTATAATGAGAAAAAAGGCATTTCTGTATGGACATATGGAGGTAGACAAATTATTGCAGCTGAAAGGTAAGGTTTATAATATTCATGTTTGCAGTTCTGCAATGCATTTAGTTTTGATATTTTACAGATATTTCTTATAGGCCTACATTGCAATAGTTTCTGCCTTTCTGCAGATACATGGAATTAGTGGAAGCTATGCAACCTGACTGGTATGAAGCTCTGAATGATGCAGACACTGATGTAAATTCCTCAAAGAAGAGAATATTGAAGTCAGTCATGAACTCAACACTTATGCTGGATCAGTGCATAGACATCAGCAAAAAGAAGCAGGTACTGTGCTAGTTCAAATTGAAATCTAGGTCTGATTACTCACAGTTTATGATATGATGGATTAGAGATGATGGCACATCCCTTTTCTATTTTTATAGTTAGAAAAATGAATATTCATGATATAATGATCATAATGTTTGTAGTGAAATGGTTGATACATTTTAACCTCAAAGTTCTGTTTGCCACTATCATGCAAGACCTTTAAAAAATTGGCAAGCTTTTATCTCAGGTCTTTTTCATGTATTCAGTTTTTAATAACATATCTGGTATTGTTTGGCAAGTTATCCATCAGCCACACCCACAGTATCATCTCCATATTCTCACTCCCTTGTAGGCCTTCCTGGTGGTGAGCCAATCTTAAAGTCATGTTTGCCACATCTTTCTTCTTGTAACTGGAACATAGTGAGTGTAAAACAGTGATACTTATTGAGAGTAACTCATTAATGAATTGCACTTGTTGCTCTTATAATGCATTTGTTGCTCTTATAATAACATTTAAATTTTTTGTTGTGTAAAATTAGTCTTGAAATCCCAGGAATCAAAATATGCTTCCATGGAACTTGAAAAATGCTACTCATTTTGCAGCTGGAGGGACAGTGATTGGAGGATTTGCAGTTCTTTGGGGTTAATATTGGAACACCATAATGGATTCTAATATCTTTGCTGTTTTTACCCAATCTAGATCCAAGTATTTGACTGGATGTGTAGTAGTCTTTCTCCCTTGAATATTATGATGTTTTTAAATGAAAGCAGCTTTTTTTGAGATAATATAATAAAAAGTCTTTGTGTGTGTGTGCGTGCATGCCTGCATTTTAGTGTATGATTTATATATAGCATTTATGAATAATTGATGTATCTTTCATTATAGGGGCTGCGTGAGGCTGCATTATTTGCACCTTTATTAGGTGGCCACAATGAAGATGAACGTAAAAGATATTCCAAAGCAATAATAGAGAATATTAAAAACGAATCTGTATTAGGATTCTCCCTCTTGGGTTTGCATACGAATGGGGCAACAGCAGAGAAGCTTGACTCAAAACTCATCTCTAATCTTGTTAAAGTGTCTTTGGTAAGTATAAGCTTGATTTTTTATGTTAGTGAGGTCATAGGTTTTCTTTACATTTATTTAGATTTTATGCAAAATATATTTTTACTCATGCTGTTATTTACTCATATTCCTGTTTATATCTAGACCCCTTTTGAAGATTTTGATTATAATGTTATGAAGAGGGAAGATTTTATTTCCATTCCAAAGGCAGTCACATTTTAGAGATGAGACATTTTCTATTGTGACTTATCCTTCTGAACACAGAGGAAGTAATGATTTTTAATTATCAAGACTGTTATGTTGGAGGAAAATTAAGTGTAATGGCACTTGTTGATTTTTTTGTTTTTAGCAAACTTTAGGCTAAAATACTATTATGAAATCATAGGAGAAATATATATATATATATATATATAATATATATATATATATATATATATATATATATATAAATATATATATATATATATATATATATTTATATATTGTATTTCCATAACCTTGGCAGTATCTTTAGAATGCCTTTAGTTTATCAAGGGTCAAACATATCTTTTCACTTACTTT